AAAAAAAAAAAAAGAACAAACCAACAAAAAAAGAAAAGAAAAAACAACCAAAAAAACCCCACCAAAAAACCCCATCAATATGATCAGCCCAAAAAGTAATAAATAGAGGAGCTTACAAAATTAGGTGAAGAAAAGATGACAACTACCAGGGAAACATTAGAATGAGTAGGAATCACTTCGGCAATAACATGTTTGTATGGGTTATTGAAATGTAGAGCAAGGTGAGCACCAAGTGAAAACATGGTAGCAAAGACGATGTACCACTAGGGAAAAAGACCACATCCCATGCTCCAGCAGACATCCACTGCTGGAATACGCAGGAGTTCTGGCTCCAGACAACCAGGAAGACGGGGCTAGGAAAAGGGGTCCTCACTAAAGAGGAAAAGTCATTATGGAAGGAACATTCATTCTGAGATGCACAGAGTATTGCTTTTCAACAGTTTTTGATGCTAAACAATGTGATAATAAATATATCCTTTAAACTATGAGAACGTAGCATACCATTGATATGGGCACCTGGTTTTACCCATTCTCCAAATAAAATGGGTGTTGTTGCCATAGTGACTGTTATAATCACATCAGCCCCAGTAACTGCCTCCTGAGCAGAAGAACAGACCTGCACTGGACCATTAACTGAATTAGCAAACTTCACCGCTCTCTCTTTGGTGCGATTCCATATCCTGACCTTCAAGGAAAAAACAAACAAACAAACAGAAACAGATCAGCTTAGAGAATTTCTCCTTGCTGAAACAGAACACTTTCAGTTTTCAGTAGATAATTACATATATCCTAAACATGTGTTTTTTCCCCTTTAACATTCTCATCATACAAGTGACTAAATTTCATGTGTGTGCAGCTACATTTGAACAACTGTTTTGTGATGCCAGAATAATCGCTCCTTGTAGAGCTGTATTTATAAAATACAAATATTTCTAATAAATATATTTAAAGGAAAGTCACAGAAAGCTCATCCAAGTACAGCTTACACAGTAGGATTTTCTCAGAGAGAAAAAGCCATCTGAAACTTGACTATGTTTCTAACTTTCCCCCCACACTTTTTTTGTTTAAAGACCAACATTTGAGCAAGAAATTCTACAGCTGTTCAGGGAATTCTTGGGTTCTGTAAAAACAGAATCAAAATATGATCAATCCCTTAACTTCATTGGCTGTAGCATGGTTTATTTATAGTAAGTGCTCCTCAAACATAATAGAGAAAAATAGATGTAGCCTGTTAAGATGTGTCCATTACCTCTTTAAATGTGAACAGCTCCATGAAGATATCATAATGGCTATATGCTTGAACACCAGCTCCCAAAATGCATAGCACTTCTGCAAAAGCTGGCATTAACAACTAAACAGTATCAAATATAACAAAAAAGAATATGTAAGGACAATATATTAACAGATATGACAAATATCTATCAAAACACTACAAAAGAAAGTAGCATCCTTAGTCCTTTTAAACAAAAAACCGTGGGTTTATGCAAAAGCTAGTGTTAATTCATATTAATAGAAAACAATATTTAATTACCAATATACATCTCTCTATATAAAATTTTTGAAAATGCAAAAGGTAGTGTCAATAGCACCAAAGTACCTCTTGGCTGGATTCCAATTTCAAATTGTCCGACTCCTGAAATTCGGACTTAACATGCAGAAGCATGAGCCAATGCAAATTCTGGGGCCCCAGCACACTCTAATATTAGTACAATGTATGACACCTAAGTGACTAATTAAGTATAAAAACATAGTGTTTATGTTCTGCACTGGCTGAAAACAGGGTTCATAATACCTGAAGCTATCAGTACTGAAAGTGGTAGCTGTGTGGGTAAACTGGTCCTGGTAGCCCCAAACTAAACCTTTTTCAATTCACTGAAGCCATAAATCATTCCGCAAGCAGATCTCTGCATTCGAAGAGCCATGATACATATGCATCAGGTATTGTGAAAATAGGGATGGTTCAACAAATAGGGACAAATATTAGAATTCAGTTCTACGATTGTTTTTGGTTTTCTGGTTTAGTTCTTGCCTGTGATTCACCACTACTTGGCAAAGGTGAAGAGAGGGCTGCTGGAGTGCAGCCCAAAGCTATCCTCATGTCTTGTTTATGCATTTGCTGTGGCCACTCACTTCTGTATAAAAAGCTTTAGAATTGTCTAGGCTCTCAATGCTTATTCTGCTGCAAATAAACTGGAAAAAAAAAATCTCATTGATCCCATTTTTCAGTAGCAAGAACACTTTTTAATGTTCCTTTCAAAGACTCTGAAGCACTGATTTCAAAGGTTCCATGCATAAAAGCATGGGTCTTTGAAAAGCAAATGCCATAAGGAGGACAAGATGACAACTATGAGCTAAACACAAACACTCCTGAATATTTCCCAAAACAGCAGATGACAATGAAGGATCTGAAGTCCCTTCAGCAGCCAAGCTCCTCTGAGGCCAGCAGAGCCTTGTCTGTGTAAAAACTGTCAGAACTGCCCAAGTATAGAGTGGCTGAGATGAATGAGGTCCTATAACCTCATGTCCAAGGAATCCATTGTAAGTTGTTCTGTCCCTTCGACCAGGGGAAGCTCTTGGGGGCAGGTTCTTCACTCCAGTTTTATGTCAGTTTAGGTCTATTGCCATGGACAGAGTTACACTGGCATGCAGACTGCCACTAACAAAGTGGTGAGATCAGCCTTCAGCCTGATGCAAACCTGATGGGTGAAAAACAGAGCTCTGGCCCTCTTTTTATTGCCTCATCCTCCGAGGTGAAGACTAAAACCCTGCTGTGCAATGGACAGTGACTTGCTTTCCTCCCACTATTAGCAGCCCAGACAAACATAGTTTAAAAGAGAATTCAAAATCAACAATTTCCAACTGAAACTGAAATGATGTAAAGCAACATACAGCAAGATACACCTCACCTCTCCTCACACACTGAAGTTTAAGGTTGTAGTCAGGGACAGTCATCTGGACACCTTCCAGTGACACTGGAGAAACTGACAGCCAGCCAGCCACCTCTGGACAAGTCACCCATCTAGCCTGGGCATCATCTATTCTTAAGAGGACCCACATTGCCCGCTGGGAATGTGTCTTTTTCCCATTTCTCCAGGTCCAGTAAAACCCTCTGTCCCAGCCCAACAGCAGAAAACATACATCTAAACAGAACACCACAGCTGCATCACCCAAAGCCATAAAGGAACATGTTAAAACAAACACAAAATAAAGAAAATCAGAGGAAAACAGCTCAGTAAATTCCCAGAAGAGTGTGCAGAATGAGCCACAAAAACATAGCTCAGATTCCTTCTCCAATCACACATAAAATATTAAAGCCAGACACAACTCACTCAAAACAGAAAACTCTGCTTTTAAGTTTTCCTTGAAGATACATATGTTATCATACATCTAATTTAAAGTTTTATTTGATGAAAGTAATTTACACCATTCCTTCTAGTTATTTTGTATATAACACCACTGAATCTGTCCCAATTTAGGAAACAGAAGACATACCTTGGTAGCAATGGCAGAAACTGCAGCTGTTCGTTTTGCTGTAATCACACTGCCATCTAGGACCTTAAAAAAAAAATTCAAACAGACTGAAATGAACACTGAAAATATGAGTAAATATCAAAGATGTTCATCTGATTTGTAAATTATGTGATGTTACAGGGCACAGACAAAAGTATAAAAGTTGGTATTTACTATTATAGCAACCACAAACCATATAAAATCACGTTTAAACTGGGCAGATTTACCACCTATTCCAGTTCTTATATGTCATTCCAACAGCACAAATGGACTGAAAACTGGTCAGAGCTGAGCCATCCCTAACTCAGGCAGCTCTTCAGGCACCGCACTTCCCCGGCTCTCCCACGCAGGGAACAGATCGACAGAAGTGCAATACTCTGCACTCCGGTAAGTCCAGAGGACAGGTACAAAACGGCAGCGGTTCATGAGTCCTGCACTGCCTTGGCCTGTACAAAGAGATGTCAGGGAACCCTGCAATTCCTTTAACACTTATTGTAGACAGCGGGGCACTCCTGCCTCCATGTCCCTTAGCTACTGCGTACAAATTAATTACAGGGCTTAAACAGCTGACATGCTTTCTGGTACGGGTTAGGAGTAAAAGCCCAATACAGTTTTCTTGACCAGTTTTGGGCCTTTAATAAGCATTACTAAAGTGTCATGAAAATGGTAAATACTCTTAAAAAAAAAAACTTAAATTCTCTACATGGACAAAAAAAAAAAAATCAGACTCTGAATACTATTCCCTGTTATATCCATTATAAGTCTCTTGCGATTTAACTTAAGATCGTTTAAGATCAATTCTTTATTCAGCAAAGGGTCGGGGTTTTTTTCCCTTTCAAATACAAGGAAAACTTTTCCTGACAATTTCTCTCTTCCAGTCACTCTGTGAGCCATCATACTCCCTTCAGATCACAAGCAGCAGTAAAGAGCAGACAGAGTCCATGTATGAAAGGTGTAAGGCTTTAGACCAAATCCTCATTTGGCACAAACACTTTTTCATTGATGATGTAGGTAAACTCAGGACAATTTACGTCAATGCCAGCTTCTGAGAATCAGAAGGGAGAACTGGCAGAGCACGAACAGAGAAGGCAGAAACACGCATTAAACTCACAGCTTTTAAAGAACCATTTCTGGGGTCAAATAAGAGGACAGTCGCTTGGTGAGAAGGGACGGAGGAATCCTTCTTGTGCTCATAGAAAGTCACCAATTTGGTTGTGAGAGCATCGTCTGCAGCACTGTACGCAGGCATGACTCCCAGGAACCTTGGAAGGGAATTGCTTGCGTTACTTTTGTACCTTTCGCACGGGAGCCTACAGCCACCGGCCTGGTTAACATCACACGGTTACTGGCCGGTTAATCAGTGACCCGGCACCAAGGACCTCTGCTGATGCGCTCACTCCTTCCACCCCGTCCCCTCCCC